GAGGAGGAGGAGGAGGAGGAGGAGGAGGAAAAAGGCAGTCCCCCAACTTGAGCTAAGTTCCTGGACCATTTCATTTTCTTTCTTTCTTTTGGGTGCTGCTTATTTCTCCAGCCAAACATCATCCTTCTCTTTCCAGGGTCATGAAACTAACGTGATCCGTTGTCGCAAGGATGGCAACTGGAGTGGATCCTTCCATCTCTGCCCGGGGATGCAAGGCCATTGTTCCCCACCCAAACTGTTGAGTGGCGGCCTGAAGTTACAATGCCCTGATGGCTCCGGAATAGGTATTTAACAACTTACGTTTCAGTTCAACATTAAGCACCTGAGTTGGGTCATTTAAGACACACACACACACACACACACACAAGAAGTGAAGACCAGAGAAGAGCAACCAAGACGATTCCCTGTTCCAATCACTTTTTTTTAGAGAACGTTATTTGTTTGAATGTTTAACTTTGATGCTGGACTGGGACCATAGGAAAGGTTCATTCTGATTCTCAGGGGACCAGCTTGCCTCCAGAGGGTGTGGATGATCCACCATTGGAGGCTTTCAAGAAGAAAGATTGGGCGGCCATTTGTCTGAAACGATATAGCAAGGGGTTGGACTAGAAGACCTCCCAGGTCCCTTCCAACTCTCTGTTATTCTGCTATTCCAGTTAGCCTGTAGTGAAGGAGATGCTCTCTTCAACCGACTTTAAAAGCGATCTTACCCTAAGTCACCTAGAATGGTCCATTGAGCTCAGTGGTGGGATTCAAATTTTTTTTCCACTGCCGGTTCTGTGGTGGGCGTGATGCGGCTTGGTGGGTGTGGTTTGGTGGGCATGGCAGAGGAAGCAGACTGCAAAAAAACCCCCATTTTCTCCCCACCCCACTCACCTGCTTTCCAGCTCCGTTCTCCTGGGCAGGGCAACCAAAGGAGACCCAGCCGATCAGGTGGGACTCAATGGGAGGCAGAGAATAGATGGGGACGGGGCTAGTCAGAGGTGGGATTTGCCGGTTCTCCGAACTACTCAAAGTTTCCTCTGCCGGTTCTCCAGAACCTGTCAGAACCGGCTGCATACCACCTCTGCTCGATCGATCTATGTCTCGTCTAGGTTCTTTGTGATGGATTTGCCTGATGTAAATCGGGGAGGGGGGCTTCCCCCCAACCTTTTCTTCAGATGCCAGGAATTCAGACCTCAGTTCTGTTCTCCTCTTGGCGTGTCCATCTGGAAAGACCATTTCTGCTTGGAGCATCCTTTGCTCATGAGGGTTGGGTACGTGCCATCCATAAAGGTGAACCAAAGGGGGGGACGCTTCCCAGCCCAAGAAGGCGAGATGGGTGTTTGTCTCTTTTCCACAAACCTCTCTTTTGTCTTTTTCAAACTGGCAGGGAAGCCGGGTATGTTTCCCCCCCCCCCCCCCCCCCCCGGGGGGGGGGGGAGAAAAGAGCATGTGATCAGAATGATCTCATTGCTCTATATCAAAACAATTCCAGG